TTAATATCCTCCAAGCCTTGAGAAAGAATTGATGAAAAATTAGTTTAGGAACCCCCTCTCACTCTAGATCACTTCCTCACTCTTAAAATATCAGTTTTTTACCTTACAAATGACCATTAACGTCTATATATCGAAATAGGGCCGGGTTATAAAAACCAGAAAATGGACCCCCCAAACAAAGCTCTGCGGTCGCAGAGTGGACAGCAGAATGGATATGCGATCCGCAAAATGGGCTGCAGAAGTAATGTCAAGAACTGGGTTGTTCGGGTCAAGTCTGCGGCAGGTCTACGGTACGCAGACTAGTTCTGCGATCGCATAATGTGTCGCATGACTCCCCTCTGAAAATATTTATGCTGGGTCTGCGATGGATTGGGCGGCTCGCAAAAGCATTATGCGGTCGCATATTGGACCGCAAAATGACCCTCCAAAATTGGCCACTTTTCTGTTGCACTCAGCAGCCAATATGCGGCCCGCAGAGTGATTCTGCAGTCGCATAGTGGACTGCAAAAATGCTTTATTCTGCCAAAATTTTTTTTCAACTCCCCAACGCATTGTTCAATCGAAAAAAGTTTGTACCGCGACGAGCAAGCTTGCCGCGAAGAATCTCTACAATCATCAACACATAAGTCCGCCTTGGCATCACGAAACCCCGAGTTTTGAGGTGAAATTTTTTGGGGACTTACAGAATTATTGTGATTATTGCCACGTAGGCTTATGTCACATTTATTTTGGTATTTACATTTAACTCTATTTTAAAATATCATGTTTCACTGGTTTAACTGTTGTAAGTAATCGGCTTATCTAGTCTTAGAGACTAGGTGCCATCACGATTAAGGCGGGGTTTTGGGTCGTGAAAATCAAGGTGGTCAAAATAGGTAAAGTATGGTTTAGACTCAAAACTATGACATCAGCTGATATAAGTTACATGTAAATATCAAGTGAGTAGCAACGATATGCCTTTTGAACTCGAGAATACCGAAGGAAGACATACTTGAGAACACGAGGAGCTAACTTATCTTTCCCAGGAGCGAATTTATGAACGAAACGTATGCTCCCAAAAAATACTGAATGCGGAATCTGATTTTGGATGGAAGATGAAGGCATCTGGTTAATCAAATAACAAGTCCCAAATAATGCAGTACAACATGAGACTCAATGAGAACTGTACGATCAGTCTTACTGAGGTGCCTATTCTTTCTCTATGTAACCCCATTTTGCTGGGGGGTATATAGACATGACGTCTAATGAATAATTCTCTGAGAAGTCATAAACTGCTGAAATTGAGAGGATAAGTATTTTAAGGCATTATCACTGTGAAAGATGCGAATAGAAATACTAAATTGATTTTTTAGTTCATCACAAAAACTCTAGAATATAGAAAATAACTAAGAACGATCTTTCATTAGGAAAATCCAAGAATATCTTGAGCAATCATCAATGAAATTGACAAAATAATGATATCCTAAGGTTGAACTAACTCAACCTGGGGGGGTCTGACTAGCACCCGGTGTCGTACCGGCGGGAGCAAACCACTCTGTAACTCATGATCGTTCGACGAATACTAGAACATACATAGGCCGACTTGGATGAACTCATTCTTTCTGTAACTATCCTGGGCCAACATGGCCATCACTCGTAATGTGTAACTGTAAGTGGGAAAATGCTATATCAGCGAGCCATCGAACTCAAAACATGAATACACACGGGCTGTTAAGGCCTCTGACATGCTATACATAATGAACATGTGTCTACAAAGCCTCTAAGAGTCTGATGTCGAAACATGGTCGGGGCATGGCCCCAGCCTACCCATAAGTCTGTAGCAAAACTCTGACACGATGACTTATAGACTCGGCTGCACTCCGAATGAAGTGGAGTCTTACCGATCCTTCGCTGAATGTTAACTTCGTCTACTATGAAGGCTCGTCAAACTGATTACCTACACCTGTAGGCATGAATGTAGCGTCCACAACAAAAAGGACGTCAGTACGAATAATGTACCGAGTATGTAAGGCAGAACTGAAAATAACAATAATCCAACATCAATGAGAGAGATATAAGAATCAACCTAAACCTCCGAAGTGCCACTAAGGGCCATGATATGCATACTAATTATACTTGTATATTTAATGCCTCGCTTTGGGACTCTTATCCATATCGTAACATGACTGCCCAACTGAACAATGGTAACTGCCCCACCGGCCCCAGCTCGGTCATAAATATATGTGTGCCCAACCAGTGGCAAATAATAATACATAACTGCCCAACCGGTGGTAACTGACCGACCGGCCGTAGCTTGATGGTAAATGAAGATGCATAATTGCCCAACCGATCGTAACTCGGCAGTAAATGAATATGTATATAATACTACATTATGCACATTAAAATATTTATCATATGCCTCAATATATACTCAGGAACATACTTAGACATGCTTTAGATTACATTGCACCGGAATGAATAACGTACACATACTTACCTACTAAGAGTAGAACCATTTATGGAATAACTTTACGTTTACGTTTCGTTACCTGGATCATGCCAAAAGAAGGAAGGATTAGTCATAACATACATTATCACAATCTGTCCCATAACCACGTTGAACTCGTCTCGTCGTACTTTAATATACAACAACCATAATAATGTTATCGTTAAGCTACGAAAGATGCAACTATCGTACAACGAACGACAAGCTTATTTTATATCAAAACGGGTAGCATCTCCCTTATTTTCTTTATTTTTTCCAAGTCCATAAAAACAACCAGAACACATACAGCCTTCGACTATATATGTTCAGCACCACAACGTACCCAACAACTCAACAACACAAATCAATCTACACAACAATAAGTGCACCAACGTCACCAGCGAAACTACTACTTATCACGACGAGCGACAAACTTGGATTGGAACTAAACCCCAACCCTTTTTCCCATCTCCCCTGTACTTACAACACCATCAATAGGTCCAACATATATATATATATATATATATATATATATTGACATGGCATTCCAACCTTATATCCATCATAAAAGTAATATCAAATAGCCCAACAAGATATAACCACAACATGAACAACTTCTAGGTATTGTGTGGTCCCCTCTTCTCTTAATTATAACATCATCAACATACTCAGCATATTGAAGAGCAAAACAACATTATAACCAAGCTATTCCCCACAATTTCCAGCCATATGAACTCATATATACAACTCCAAAATAGTCCAATAAGAGACAACAACTTTTTATACCTCTTCAAGTTCTATCTTGTAGTTCTTCATCCAATTAACTTAACCAACAAATAGATAAGATTAAGCACAAGCAATAGGGTGTTATACTTACCTTAAATAATTAGAATAAACTCAAACCAAATTTTCCCTTAGCTTACAAGCACCTTTAATGACATCATAACGCCCATTGGGACTCTTTTCTTCACTTAGGCTAATTTTTTAGGTTAGATTTAGGTAAAACCACCATGGATTCGACTTGGAACCTTGGAGAACTTTTAGTGAGGTGTTGAGAGAGTTTGAGAACTGTACTTGGTCGAAAATGACCAAAAATGAGCCTTCAAACCACTTTAAAATGTTCAAGGGTCGTCCACCGCCTAAGTGGGCCCCATAGGGAGTTGCTTGCACAGTCTCGCGAAAATGTGAATATCTTTCTATTCTGATGTCGTATTGACGCATGGTTTAATGAGTTGGAAACTAGACTCGTAGATCTTCTATTTGATGGGTGGATTAGTCTATAAATCTAAGTATATTGGGCGAAAATCTCAGTGACATTAGATCCAAATTTCAATTAAATATATGAACGTAACTTGTGACAACTTTCATCGACTTTTATTTCATAACTCGTTTGACTTCATATCTTAACACACAACTGTCATTAAAATATCTCATAACATCACCTTCTTATCATGTTAAGCACCCAAGTCTCACCCCAAAAGTACGGGTTGTAACATTCCCAACTTGCCGACTTTCAACGAAACTTATTTTCTTCTATTCGTTTAGCTTATAAACCTTCCAACCCTCTTGGTACCTACAGTTAATGATCTTAAATATTTGTAACCTCCAAGGTAACATGATTAACTTACATTATATATTTTCAAAGATGATCTTATTTCCAAGCTTACATCAATTGACTTACGACGTACTTTACGTATTAAAACATATGACGTAACACTATCGTTTTTTGTTTTTTTTTTATTTAAAAAAGAACTTTTCCTACGAAAGATATAGCTTTATCTAGTGTAGCTCATGCATATGCATGGAATATCAACTTCTATTACAGACCTCTTAAAGTTTTTTGCATAGAAATTGAATAGTCAAACACAATCTTTTGCCCTCTCACCTTTTTTTTTTTTGAATAGTTGGTCATTTGAACTTTCACCTTAATGATGAGGATTCTATTCCCCTGCCTTGTAATCTCCTCCCCTATTTCTCCTTCCCCCACCCCTATATATAATTTTAAAAAATTAAAAATTTCTTTTCTAGATAGAGTAGAATCAAGATCTACCATATAAATAAATAAATAAATAAATAAATAAAAATGGTTTTGTAATTGCACAATCTAGGTAGCCCCTAAGCTTAAGCTAGCATCCCGCCCACGCTGATCTGCTTATTTGTCTTTTTCTTTTTCTTTTTTTCTTTATTCTGTACCTTTTATTTTCCGCTTTTGTTTACTTGTGTCAGCAAAATAGTTTTCTCCATATAGTTGCTACTGCTTTTATGTGTTTTATACATGGCAATTGCATAAAACACTTTATGAAAAAGAAAGTGGAAGAACAGCGCGACAGTGCTTAAGACCAACAGGTCAGGTGCTTATTTTACTTTGCATGTTTCATCCTTCAGCCCTTTTTAGTACTACTCTGGAAAGGGTATAAATGCTATATCAAAACTAGTGTAAAACCACTAACCAGTATAAGCTCTGCAAGGGTTTTTTTTAGCCCTGATATCGATTGCCTTAACCGCATTTTCCGATAGTATTCAGTAGCTTTGAAGAGGTAATGCAAGAAATAATCTGCAGTTTTTCTGAGTCAACCACATATAATAGTGGCATATAAATGTAAATTTGAGAGGAGACAATAATAGGAAACAGGGCAAAAAAATGGGGGAGGGAGAAGGACGAGGAGCGGAAGGAGGAGAGGAAACAGAACAGAAAACTACCACCTACAGATATAACCATATATTCACCCATGGTGTCCCAAAATTTTGGCAAAAATGGATATCCTTATTGCGGCACTGCAGAGCTTGCATCTATCTTTGACTGACTGAGATGGCGGCAAGCTTCAATTTGATGGCCTCAAATTCCGCATCCCGTCTCTCGTCATTTGTCAACCAGGACGATAAGCATCGACTGATAAAATCACCGGAACAACTTACAGGAGAAATGCCCCTGCAAACTTTGGGCTTTCCAAAACTCATAATAAGTTGTAAATTCGTTTCTGATGGATTTTCTGCGTAATTCTCCAGAATTTCCCTAATCGCTCTGCACCAGATAGGACGGGCCACCTTCAGGAATTCATGCACAGCCAACATCGGAAGGCTCACACTTCCCACCTCAGACTCCTGCTTCCCCCCTCTTCCATGAAAATCCGAACCCCCAAGCTTCAGCAGATCATAAGCATCTGCTAGGTCGCTGTATGCTGTTCACAGAAACAGGTGAATGGAAATATAATTAAAGGCAGATCAGGCATTTCAAAGATGCAGAGTAACAATTAGTATTGTTTCTCGAAAAGCAGGCATGAGATAAGATATCTCAATGTTTCCCTAAGATTTCGAATAGCGGTCCCAAATTCAGCTTGATTCTATTGCGACTCTTCCATCCATATATCATACAAAAAGTCCAGATACGGCCCACTATAACAACTACTCCCTCTGTTCCAATTTATGTGAACCTGTTTGACTGGGCACGAAGTTCAAGGAAAAATGAAGACTTGTGGAATTTGTGGTCCTAAACAAGTCAAAAAGGGGCCCAGAGTATTTGTGTGGTTATAAAAGCTTCTCATTAAGGGCAGAATCGTAAGTTTAAGCTAAATTGTTTCCAAATTTAGAAAGGATTCATTCTTTTTGGACGGACCAAAAAGGAAATAGGTTCACATAAACTGGAACGGAGGGAGTATGTGGTAGTGGGTACAAACTCGGAATAAATAAATATTTTTCAACTTTTTCACTATATTTATGCTTAAGTCGAGCACCAGCTCCCACATGCTACATGTACCCCGAAATATAATCAAGATGAAGAACACGATAAAACAAGGTGAAGGACGAAACATTCACAAAAGCACTGACTTCTAAATAGGCTGGGAATCTGTCAAAGGTAGTTAGCACAACCATTTACATTAAATAGTTTTGGCATACGACTTCTATGTACCATGAAGATTGGGAGAAACAAGGGCAATGCTTAGCAAACAGAGAAATTGCAAGCATCCTATTTTCTTCGAACAATCAAGAAGAGTCAAAATACAAAACCTGTCATTCCAGAAACTTGCTCGTATCATTGCTAACCTGTCAATACTAGTCCTTCACTAATGATAAAAGCACAAGAATTCATAAAATCAACACATCTGGCTTGATGTCCAACCAATAGAAGAGGGAGGGGAAGGTGAAAAGTTAGAGGATAATTGTTGATATAAGAATTTAACTTGATTTTGCGCTTTCTGCTATAATGCAATTATATTATTACTATGAGTTAATTTTTATGCATTTAGAGGTAACATATTCACAAAAGTCAGTTGAAGTATTAAACACTAGGGCAAAATGTATGGTACCTGCGAGTTTTCCATCACTCCTGTAGGCCTCTATACCATGTAGACCGACTTCTTTCAATCTTCTAACAACAGCTATTGGATCTTTTAATGCCCATGGATGTGCCAAAACTGCCACGCCTCCTGTCTCACGTATAAATTGGACGGTTTCCTCTGCAAGTGGCTCGCTTCCCCTGTACCACAGCCACTCTTCATCAAACTTTTCAATGAAACAAAATAACCTTAGCAATAGATTTAATCTAACCAAAGCTTGATAATTACGTAGCATAAGCAGGTCCTCCGTCATAAAGATATCGGGAAAATGCCTGTCTTAGATTCTCCACATGGCCAGCTTCAACCATAGCACGAGCAACATGCAACCTCCCTGGAGCAACTCCTTCTCCTGCAATTTTTTCTACCTGCTCCCACTTAAGGGGCAACTTCAGTTTGTTAAGTTTTGAAATCATGTTCTCCGCACGGAGGAAACGTCCATCCCGTATACTACTCAGGAACTTCTCTAGTTGATCAAATTTTGCTGGTCCGCAACTGCTGTAATATGCAAGAATGTGCACTGGTTCATCTGATGCAGAGTCCCTCCTGTAATGAAAACCTTTAAAATTCCGCAGTGAAGTGATGACAGGACTGGAAAATCTCCAGGATCAACAGAGTCGTCAAATTTGTAATGGAACACCAAAAACAGAAAATTAAAGAAAGACCTTGTTGTATCATAGAGTACTTTAGAGAGAGAGAGCCAAGAAATAAATTTCACATATTTGCCCTGTTTAAGGTAGAACATTAAACCAAATCAATAGACTAACCCTTGGGAGAACATTGTACTGATTTCAACTCCGGGAATAATCTTAATGCCAAATCTACGAGCTGCTTCCAGTGCTTCGGGGATGCCAGACATAGTATCATGATCTGTCAATGAAAGAACTTTTACCTGTTATTGAACAAGTTGCACTAAATTAGTTGCTCAATATGCAATTAGATGGATCAAAATCAACTAACAGTGAAACCTAACATAGGCAACTAATTGTGAGAAAAAAGAATTTTATAGAAGCAGATTTAGTTTATACAAATAGAAATAGGTGTCAAGGTTTTACTGATCGTTGAACTCTACCCCCCCCCCCCCCCCCCCCCCCGACCAAATGTTGTACAGAACCTCTTCACCTGTGAAAAGATAGCTTCTTAGTTGATCACTTATTCAACAAACTACAGGTCTAATTTCACTTTCTCTAGCTTTTCGAAGAGCATCAAATGCCAAGCCACCTCCCCTAGCCCTGAAAATAGATAATTTAATTCTCCAAACTAGCTTTTCAATAAAAAGTATGATGGATGGGATTCCTGCTGACTTTAAGTCCTTATTTCCTATGCCTGAAAAGTGGAAAGGCAATTGGATAGGAGAAGGTGCAATTCTCTGGTAGGGAAATCGAGATAGAAGAAAGATGCATTTAGGTGAACTGGAACATAGGCACAAGTAACAAACAAATTGGAGGTTTGGGAGTTAAAAATCTCAACCTACAGAAAAAAGGTTTGCTCTAAAGTGGCACTGGAGATTCATGGCTGTTAGCACTCAGTTTTTATGATGACAAAATTAGAATCAGAACTAAGTATGGCAACTTTTTGTAGGAATCTAAAAGGGACTGAGATCGAAGGAAGATCAATTTAACATCAACGGGGGAAGATCAAACAACTACTGGAAGAATATTCTATAAAAGGAAAGAAGATCTGTCAAGAAGCTTCACAAGGAAAACGAGAAATCAAAGGATAATCAAATACCTTTAATTGAAAACCTGAAGATAAGAAGAGCAGATTCTTAGGAGCAAGATTGGCAATGGTCAAACAGAAAAGGAAGAATTAGAAGACAAATAAAGAAAAATATTAGCGAGATGAATGTGCGAAGATAGCAACAACAATCCAGTAAAATCCTACAAGTGGGGTTGGGGAGGGTAGTGTGTGTGTACGCAGACCTTACCCCTATCCCGGAGGAGTAGAGAGGTTGTTTCCGATAGACTCTCGACTCAAGAAGACGGAAAGAGACAGAAGCCAGGAAGATAATATCAGCATCGTATGAGCCAGAAAATAGATGAAAAAGCAATAAGAATAACCATTAATAATTGCACAGTCTATAAAAACGGAAAAATAGTGTGGACACAATATTAACCACTAGCAGTCTAAGACAAAACATTATTAGACTAGCCTCACACCCGGTACGAACTAGAAAAGCGCTCAACTACCTCCTAATCTTCCACCCTAATGTTCGACCTCCACACCTTCCAATCCAAGGCCATGTCCTCGAAAATCTGAACTCGCACCATGTCCTACCTGATCACCTCTCCCCAATACTTCATAGGCGGCGGCGCTCTACCTCTTCTCATACCCGCCACAACCAAACGCTCACACCTCCTAACCGGGGCATAAGCAAGATGACGGAGGCCAACAAAAAACACAAGGAAAGAAGATCAAAGCATTTAAAGCTCCATTTTTGTTCCTGGAAAAGATCACAAGAAATCAGCAATATGATGGAGGCCAGTAGAAGACACAAGGAAAGAAGACCGGAGTATTTAAAGCTCCACCTTTTATTCTTGGAAAAGATCATAATATATCTTTTCCAATGATCAAATCCTTTGGGTTGCTATCTCTGTATCAAGGAAATCAAATCAATCGCTGAAATCAAGGATGAGCATCAACTGCTATATATTCAAAAGAAGACGAAGACTCAAGACATACTTAGTCTGCTTAATTTCCAAGCTCTTTGTTCTGCTCTTAACAAGCATTGTATTTTAGTGAGGATTATTGTGTAATCAAAAGAGAGAAGAGAGATAAAATGATTGGTGAGGCATTGTGTCTAAAGAAACGAGAACTGTAGAATTAAGGTTGGTGTGTATGTAGGAAACACATCAACGAAGTTGTTACAAATTCACCAAGGAGCTTACAGAGAGACCCTCTTGCAACCCAAGAGACTAGATTAGGATCCATATTGAATATGAACTAATATAAAAACATCATTATATCATTTACTTTCCTGCACTTTACATTCAGTATTTATTTAGAAGCCCTGAAAGAAGAAATTGCCATAGTATCCAAAACCGGGAATGGCCTAATGAAAAGATTCAGGAACGCCAAGAAAGGCAGAACAAATTCCATTAAACCAAGAAATTTCAATGAAGAGGAAAGAAATGATGGAAAGTGCTATGAATGTCGAAAGTATGTACATATCAAGGCTGAATGCCCATAACTAAAAAGGAAGACATCCAAAGAATATCAGAAGAGTAGATCAATTGGGTGTTGGAGTGATGAGGACACAACAGATCATGACGAAACCGCAAATATATGCTTTGTGTCCCTTCATGAAAATGATTTCTCTGGATGCTGGACTGATGAAGACATTTCAGATGATGATCATGAAGACTTAGCAGATCACTGCCTTACGGCTAAAGGAAAAACAAGTAAGGTAAGACCCTACAACTGCGACAAATGTAATGAATTACAAGAAATTATAGATTCTGCATTAAAAGATTTTGTAAATGAAATAAAGAGGCCAAAATAGGGAAAAGAAGGATCGGGAACTTAATCTTGAAGTTTGTGAACTCGAAAAAGATAACTTTAAGGAACAAGGTCAGGAATTACTATTGCAAATAAATGGTCTGTATAAATCCACCGGTCACAGTTCAGTTAGGTCAAACCAGCCAATTCAATCTTTTGAGTATACCGGAAAAAGACCTACCAATAACACATATAGACAAAGTAAGTCTACATGCAAATCTGTTACTAATGAACAGTCTGCTCCCTCATATCACTACTATGGCAAGTTTGGACATAAGTACTCAAATTACAGATTTTGTCATAATCAAGGATGGGCATGGAGACCAAAAACTAATGCAGGAACATCAGATCTAACCAAAAAGGACCCAAGTAAACTTGTTACCCGAAAGGAAGTAACTTTTCTATTTTGAAGGAACACCACAAGAAGAACCACAAAAGGAAACAGTATCTTGATAATGCGTGTTCCAGTCATATGACGGATGATAAAAACTTATTTAAATCAGTCAAGAATAGAGATGGAGGTAATGTTGGATTTGGTGATGGCTCAAAAGGGAAAAATCATTGGCATAAAAACAGTTTCATTCAGTAACATGTGCGACATTACTGATGTATATCTTATGGATGGGCTAAACTAAAGGTATATCTTATGGATGGGCTAAACTACAATCTACTAAGTATTAGCCAATTATTCGACTCGAGATATGAAGTAAAATTAAAAAAGACAAGATGTGCCATTGGAGATGAATTAGGTATCACTATATTGCCACGTAAAAAGGTATGGTAACGTCTATACTCTTGATTGCATTAAAAACCTAAATAAACATATTTGTCTAGCATCTATATCTGATTATCTCTGGTTGTGACATAAGAAACTTGGTCATGCTAGTATGCATCTAATTGAAAAATTGTCTAGACATGAATTGGTCATAGGTCTGCCTAAGCCTCATTTCTCTAAGAATCATGTATGTGATGCATGTCAACTTGGTAAGCAAACCACCTCCTTCAAGTCTAAAGATATAGTTATTACTCCTAAGCCCTTACAACTTTTACACATGGATCTCTTTGGTCTTACCAGAACTGCCAGTATAGGAGAAAAAAAGGTACGTATTTGTTACTATAGATGACTATTCTCGCTTGTTACTATAGATGACTATTCTCGCTTTACCTGGTAATATTTTTAGCTCATAAAGATGAAGCACTAAAGAACTTTGAGATCTTCTGCAAGAAAGTACAGAGAGAAAACGGATACTACATTTCTACTATATAGAGTGATCATGGAGGCAAATTTGAACGCAAATCCTTTAAAGTATTCTATGATGAATAAGGATTCACACACAATATTTCAACACCCAGATACTCCCAACAAAACAAAGTAGTGGAGCGCAAAAAATCGAACCCTGCAAGATATGACAAGAACAATGATCACTGAACATTCCCTGCCAAATCACTTTTGGACGGAGGTAGTAAGCACAACATGCCACATTTTGAACAGGTGTCTTATACGAACTATTTTGAAAAGGACTCCATATGAACTATGGAAAGGTAAGAGACCAAATATCAGTTATTTTCATCCCTTTGGATGTAAATGTTTTGTCCACAACAACGATAAGAACAATCTAGAAAGTTTGATCCTAGGAGTGATGAAAGTATATTTCTTGGCTACCCAAACACTAGTAGAGCTTATAGGATTTACAACAAGCCTACTATGTGCGTAGAAGAATTTGTTCATGTCATATTTGATGATATTAATCCTATGATCGAGAAAGATATTGTTGCAGGTGATGAAGACAAACCAAGTATTTCTGCTTAGTTGATGGAATATTTTTTTGGACAATTATTATGTTTTGTGTTGGACTGGTGATTCAGTAACCTTGTTGTAAACTCTAAATTTACATTTTTTGACTGGTTGCTTTTGTCTAGCCAACTGTTCGGTATGTAGTCTGACTTACATATTATCTGCCGTATTTAGTCAACAATATGCTTTATTGTGTGTCTAGTTCCTTTGTATTTTCCTTTTTGTTGATGCCAAAGGTGGAGAATAAACTCAGGGGGAGCACTTAAAGCCGTAGCAGCACTTGAAGCGGTAGCACCGACTCAGGCGGAGTAAGTCAAACTTACTCCATGCTCACTAAGGGAAGTAACAAGTCTTGATCTCAATTTTTTTTAGATTAATCATTTTCTAATTTTTATTGTCATCATCAAAAAGTGGGCAATTGTTAGCACCTAATTTTTATGATGACAAAATTAGAATCAGAACTAAGTATGGCAAATGGTTTTTGCAGGAATAGGAAAGGGACTGAGATCGAAGGACGACCAATTTAACATCAACGGGGGGAAGATCAAAGCAACTATTGGAAGAATAATTATAAAGATGGATAGAAGATCTGTCAAGAA